AAATGAGGCTGAGGTATGAGCCTTCCTAGCCGCTGGCTCCCCTCCCTGCCCTGAGGCAGCCTCAGACAGAGGGCGAGAGAAGTCGGGAGATTCACGGAGCGGGAAGGAGAATCCCACAACTGCATTGGGTTTCATGTCGCTGAACCAGTCTGGGTACTTCATGGGATTCTCTAACCCAGGCTTGGGGTTACTGGTAGCCCCTCTCTGGTTTCAGTGTGGGGGCTTCGGTTTATGAATTTCCTTGGAATTAAGACCCTGGGAATGAGTGCAATCTTAAAGTCCATCCCAGAAAAGGTAAGGAAGGCTGAGCTGTAACCACGGCGTTTTTAAAATAGGCTGATAACAATGAGAGGCCCCCTGAGAGGCAGCGCTGGGGCTGGCCAGCCTGCTGACTGCAAGCGTTCCCTACAGACTGCATTCCGGGGCTTCAGGTGTCATCCCTCACTCTGCAGGCACGTGTTTGCCCTTTGCACATGCCACTCCTGTCCCCATTCCACCTGGGGGCGGGGGGAATGAAACCAAGGCATTGGAGATGAAGCCCTAGAGACTCCTGCTGTGCTAGGTGGACTCTTTTTAGCATGTCACATGCTGGCATATGCAAAAATTTCAAAGGTGTACATTTCAAAGGTGTGTTGTTGCCGTAACAAAGTACAAAAAACAGGGCAGCTTAAAACAGCAAAAACACGTATTGCCTCATAGTTGTAGAGGCTGCAAGTCCAAGATCAGGGTGTAGGCAGGGTGGGTTCCTTCTGGAGGTGCTGAGGGAGAAGCATCCCATGCCTTCCGTCTTGGGTTCCTCGGCTTGTGGCAGCATCACTCCAGACTCTGCCCCTGTCTTCCCAAGGCCTTCTCTGTGTGTCTATCTCCTCTGTGTCTCTGATCTCTCTTCCTATAAAGACACCAGTTATTGGATTTAGGGCTACAGGAATGGCTCTTTCTCTCACACATGGCATTATGACCATCCCTACTTCATGCCTTCAGTGCCCTTCTGCTTCTAAGATGAGTCTGGGGTTCTAGACTCAAGCTGGACACTGGACACTGGCCAGCTGCCTCTCTTCTTGTCCACACGTTGTGCTGAAACTTTCTTTTTTTTCTTAGAGTCTCACTCTGTTGTCCAATCTGGAGTGCAGTGGCACCATTATAGCTCACTGCAGCCTCGATCTCCTGGGCTCAAGTGATCCTCTTACCTTGGTCTCCTGAGTAGTTGAGACTACAGGTGTATGCTACCAGGCCTGGCTGATTTTTTTTATTTTTATTTTTGTAGAGATGAGGGTCTCACTGTGTTGCCTAGGCTGGTCTTGAACTCCTGGACTCAAGAAGTCTTCCTGCTTCAAAGTCTAGGATTACAGGTATGAGCCACTTTGCCTGGTCTGTGCTCACACTTTCTTAACAGGCAGGGCTGACACATGCCTCCGGGCATCCTGCCCCCTCTGCCTGAAATGCCCTTCCTTTTTTTTTTTTTTTTTTTTTTTTGAGACGGACTCCCAGGCTGGAGTGCAGTGGCGCGATCTCGGCTCACTGCAAGCTCCGCCTCCCGGGTTCACGCCATTCTCCTGCCTCAGCCTCCCGAGTAGCTGGGACTACAGGCGCCCACAACCGCGCCCGGCTAATTTTTTGTATTTTTAGTAGAGACGGGGTTTCACCGTGGTCTCGATCTCCTGACCTTGTGATCCGCCCGCCTCGGCCTCCCAAAGTGCTGGGATTACAGGCGTGAGCCACCGCGCCTGGCCGAAATGCCCTTCCTGATCCTTACCCCTCTTCACTTCTCCATCTGAAAAGCCTTAACTCATCCTTTAAGTTCCCCCTCCTCAGTAGGGGCTACTCTGAATTCTGGGGTGAGTATTGACTGCAGCTTTTTGTGCCTGACCGTGGTCCCTGTGCATTTTCCTCGTGTGACACCTAACACAATGCATTGCTTTTGTTTGATTACTGCCCATCTCTCCACCAGACTGAGCTTCTTTTTTTTTTTTTTTTTTTTTTTTTTTTTTTTTTTGAGACGGAGTCTCGCTCTGTCGCCCAGACTGGAGTGCAGTGGCCGGATCTTGGCTCACTGCAAGCTCCGCCTCCCGGGTTTACGCCATTCTCCTGCCTCAGCCTCCCGAGTAGCTGGGACTACAGGCGCCCGCCACCACGCCCAGCTACAGACTGAGCTTCTGAAAGGCAGTTTTCTTTTGATTCTCCAGCATAGTTACATAGAAGACCATCTATAGTTGCTAAATGACTCACTCAATAAATGGACATTCCCTTCAGAGGATAAAGATCGAGTATGATCTTTCTTCTACTTCTGTCGTATTCCCTATAATGTATGGTGCATAGGTGGCTCTCAGATGAGTCCAGTATTGTTTAGTGATTGAATGGAAGAACCATTATTAGCAGGAACCTGGTGGGAGCTGTGGCTCACTGACACTAGCAGCTTCAATAAAGTAATAACCTAAGGAAACAGAATTCCCTTCCGCCTTCCTCCTGCCAACTCAGCTACTTCTTATATGAGATTTAATTGAGGCCAGGGAGGGGAACAAGTAGCACCTTCCTCCTGCCAGTAAAAAAGCAAAGGGAGAGAAAGGGGAAGCCCTAGGCCTGAGATTCTGCAGCCAGGAATTCCAAGGCAGCATTAGGAAGGGGGTCAGGATCAGGACATTGGCAGAACTGTCTGTGTTCTTGCTTCATTCCTGCAATCAAGAGTGGGGTTCATGGTAGTGATGGTTGGTGGGTATCAGAAGGGAAGGGGTCAGCAGGGATTGAGTTCTGGGACTTCCTGAATGAGGCAGACCCAGGCCCATGATCTTGGGCCATAGGCCCCCTAACCCCTGCCCACACTTTGCTGGCCTTGGAGCTGAATGAAGGTCCTCTACATCATCAGACCAGCCTCTCTTTTTGGGGGAACAAGGCACCCTTATTGCAGGGCTCTCTCTTCTCCTCTCCTCATTTCCAGTCTGGTGAGCTTTCCTCTGTGTTGCTCAACAAAGCTACCTGTCACTTTCAACCGGGTGACACTCTAAGGATGATAACTAGAGTTGAGAGTGAAACACGGGTCTCCAGACCCCTGTCCTACTGTTTCTTTCATTGATTCCCAAGAACCCTCAACCTTGGTCTCCAGACCATTTTAACAGGATGAGAGACCTAGGAAGTGAATGATTCCATCTACTGGTCCAGTCTTTCTTCTCCTCTGGGGCATCTCAAAATCACTCAGATACCCCAGAAGCACTCAGCTGTTCCACCTGCCCTAGTCCTCCCTGTCTTCTTCCAGAGAGCCAGCCCCCAGGGACACAGGTGCAGGGCCGGGACTAGGAGAGGCACGCAAGGGGCCTAGAGCTCAGAATTTAAAGGGGCACCCATTCTTAAAGTTGTGGAGCGCCTCCTTGAACTCTGTGCTCTGGGTGTGTCATGGCCTCATCTAGTCCTGGCTTTGTGCAGGCAGGTGTCTCCGTAAAGGGATGGGAGGAGAACAAGAGATTACAAGGAGAGTAAAAAGAGAGTACTAAGAGGACAAGGTGGGACATCCAAAGTCAATGGCACTACTCAGGATGGCTTGAGCCCAGGAGTTGGAGGCTGTAGTGAGGTATGGTGGCCTGTGAATAGCCACTGCGCTCCAGCCTGGGAAACATAGTGAGACACTGTCTCTAAGAATAACAACAACAACAAACAAACAAACAAAGCCAATAGCAAAGTGAAGAACAATGACTGAAGACAGGTTTGGAACAAGCATCCCCACACATGCTCTCTCTGTCACACACCCTGGACCTGCCAGACAGACACCATCCAGAGAACAGTGAACAAAGGAAAGATCAAATACACTCACCACATTCTCATTAGGAGGACCTATGAGAATTAGATCCTCCTAATTAGGAGGACTCCTGGGGAGGGGGTGTAGAGATCCTAGCACTTTGGAAGACCAAGGCAGGAGGATGGCATGAACCCAGGAGTTTGAGACCAGCATGTGCAACACAGCAAGACCTTGTCTCTATAAATAATAAAAAGAATTACTTGGGAGGCTGAGGCTGGAAGATTGCTTGAGCCTGGGAGGTAAAGGCTTATAGTGAACCATGATGGTACCACTGCACTCCAGCGTGGGTGACAAAGTGAGAGTGTCTCAAACAAGATAAAAACAAACAAAAAAATTAGCCAGGTGTGGTAATGCACACATGTGGTCCTAGGTACTTGGGAGGCTGAGGTGGAAGGATAGCTTGAATCTGGGTGATTGAGGCTGCATTGAGCCGATGGTGCCATTGTACTCCAGCCTGGGTGACAGTGAGACCTAGTCTAAAAAAAAAAAAAAAAAAAAAAGAAAAAACCCCACAAAAAAATAAAAAATGTGGCTTATGTTTGTGGCTTGAATTATAGTTCTATTGTACAACGGTAGTCTAGTTCAACTTCCTCCTTGAACAGATGAGAACGCTGGGGTCCAGACAGAAGCCCTGACTTAGTGGAGGGCACACGCTATAAAACACTGTCATCTGCAGTCCCACCAATCTCTCAGTGCCCACCCCAACTCTGCCAGACACACCCCTGGGAGCCCTGGGTGTGAAAGGGGTGGACTCGCAGACCCTTGGGCTGCGCACCTCAAAGGAGGTGTTCCAAAACTCAAGGCACTGCCTGTGTTTTTTTGGGAGTGAAATAAAAACCTAACAACGGTGGGGTCACAGTCTCCAGTAGGTCACATTTTAAAAGCACTTTAGGCTCTGGAGACTTGGGGTGTGGGGAGAAATGGGGAGAAAGCTGGGGGGTCCTGGGTCTTCCCCCGTTTATTCATATGCAGAATAATCCAGATTAGTTTGCCAAGCCCGCTGATAACCACCTTAAAAGCAGAGTCCCTCCTACCTCCCGCGAGGCATGGGGTAGAACCTGGCCTGAGCCCTGACACAGGCGGGCAGCCACTCCAGGATTGTTTGACACGTAAACAAAGCCAAGTTTCGGTCCGATTGGCTTGATCCTGAAAGAGGAGTGGGCAGTGGAGGGAGGGGAAACCGGGCGCCAAAGCAAATTTCTTCATTTCATAATTTCATCTGGCGCCGCGTTCCATCAGCCTGCAGTGTGGAGGCTTTAGGAGAGGCAGTTAGAAAAGGAGAGGTACTTATCTCTCAGCCCCAGAGCAGCACTCGTGGTGCCTGTCTAGACTGTGACAGGTGGAGCTGCTGGGCTAATTACGGATCTGATGGGGAAGTTTTCCTTGACTTTCACGTGGCTTTGGCTGGGGAGCCCTGAGAAAGTGGCTGCCTCCTTTTTCTTAAGCCTGGCTTCCCATACAGCAGTGGCTGGGGGAGAGTGATGGAGAGAAAGGCTAAGCTAAGGGCCAAAGAAAGTGGAGGAAGGCTGGCTTGTCCCGCTGGACTTCACGGCGGAGCTGCTGCAATCTCGCAGGCTGGGCTCCTGCCCGAGGTGGACCCGAGTGCCTGCGGGGAGGCGGGTGTGGCTCCTCTGGGAGGTGACAGCTGGCGGGGCCCGTTCGGATCTGGTCTGCTCCGGCTCCCCTGTCGTAGCCGGCGCCCTGGAACCAGCGCATGAGCACGTCTCGGAGGAGTCCGATGCGCTGGGTAGGGCCGGTGGTCACCCCCGCCCCGCTTCCAGGGGTGACTGTGCCTCTGACGTCAGATGGCTTTTGGGTCATTCCTTGGCACCAGGGCTTTATTTTCATAACAGCATGAAGTGCCGTGAAACTGGAATAGGCGTGTCCTCTGCCTCGACCCTCCCCCGCCCCTTGTCCCTCTGCTCACCCCTCGCTCCTTCCCTCCCTCCGGCGAGGGCCGCCTTTATAACAACTGCTCGGAGCGGGAGAGCGGGATAGCTGTCCGAGGGCGCCCCCAGCACTGAGGAGCTCGCCTGCTGCCCTCTTGCGCGCGGGAAGCGGCACCAAGTTCACGGCCAACGCCTGGGCGCTAGGGTAAGTGAGGCGCCAGGAGCGCAGAGTGCTCGGGCCTCTGGATTTAAATCGTCTGGGGAGAGCAGGGCCGTGGGAGGGGTGGGATAGAAGAGGAGAGAAATCTTGGTAATGGAATACAGTTGGCTATGAGAAGAAAATTCCCTAGGAAACAGTTCCTCTAGTTTAACAACTTAAATTTTTTTTTTTTTTTTCCTTTGCGGGTTTCCCAGACTAAGATAGACGCGGAGAGCAAAGAGATGATCAGGGTAATAGTTTCTGCTCGGACACATTCTACAAACTTTGAGTAGGTGGAATCCGGCCAGGCAGGAGGTGAGCGGCTCTGGGATCACTCTGAAGGAAAAGAATAGAGGGAGAGAGATCTCAGAGGACCCAAAGGAACTGGGAGTGGAGGGGGAGTGGGAAACAAGGGGCAGGGGCAGGAGGGAGGACACGGTGACAGCTGCTACTTTACCCAGATACCGCAAAAAGCCCTTCTGAGTTTTGCGAATTAGATCTGGAAGCCCATCCCTTTTCTCTTGATGTGTGTGGCGGTCAGTTCCACTCTGGTGTCCCTTGAGTTGCTCAGGAACCTGGGACAGAAGGAAGTTGAATGCGCACTAAGAGCTCACCTTCCACCCACAACTTTATAGAAAGGACTTGGGAATAGCGTAGATGCTGTTCAATCTGGTCCCTTAAACGTCCTTGGGGAAGGCTGGCAAATAGCTTTATTTTATTTTATTTTATTTTTTGAGACCATCTTTCCCTCTTGTTGCCCAGGCTGGAGTGCAATGGCCTGATCTCAGCTCACCACCACCTCTGCCTCCTGGGTTCAAGCGATTCTCCTGCCTCAGCCTCCTGAGTAGCTGGGATTACAGGCATGTGCCACCACACCTGGTTAATTTTGTATTTTTAGTAGAGACGGGGTTTCCCCATGTTGGTCAGGTTGGTCTCGAACTCCCGACCTCAGGTGATCCGCCTGCGTCAGCCTCCCAAAGTGCTAGGATTACAGGTGTGAGCCACCACGCCCGGCCACAAATAGCTTTAAACATCCGTGGGAAAGGCTAGCACACAGCTCTAAACATCGATGGGAAAGGCTAGCCAACAGCTGAAACCTGTTCAGAATCAAGAAATTTGAAGGGCTTTCGATTCCTGACTTCTTTCCAGGCTGATTTTCTCCTCAGAGGCTTGTGTAAACAACACACCTGTTGAGGGGTTCGGCCGAATCAGCCACTGCTATGGGTTCATTCCTGAAGGGGAACACTTCAGTCACTTCAGATACAATGGGCTAGGGACCACCGGAGGGGTGAGGGCAAAGGGGGCATACAACTCCAGGTTTGAATGCCGGTGTCTGCTAGGTGAGGGAAGGAATGAGGAGAAGGAATGGCCGGGAGGGGCGCTACCTGGGAGACAAGGGGCCCCTCCAAGGGTGTGGAGAGGTGAGTGCTTCAAGGGCAGAATAGAATGAGCAGAACCCTTTTGTTTCCTGGGAAGAGCTCTCAGCCTTGAGTCAGGAAGACTGATTTCTCCTCCCAGGTCCGCAGGAACAGGGAACTGTGATCAGCCAAGGGGCTGGGCCTGAGTTCCTCATAGGGATCTTGGGGAGGCCCCCAATTTCCTCTCCTGTGTTTAGATTCTAGCCCCTCTCTATCTGCACACGTCACCTTGGAAGTCCTCCTTAGAACTGGCTTTTTTTGTATTCTAGTCTTTAATGGTAATCAAAGACTACAAGGTATGAAGAACAATTTTGACGGCGTGATTTTATTCTTCTCATTCTGAGTCCGCTACTATTTAAAGTCCACAGATTAAGCTGAGGAATTCATATGGTGGTATAGTAAATAATAAATTGAATAGTATTTTTGCTTGAGGAGTCTTTGATTTCCTGAGTAGTTCAGGGTGTTAGTTTCTTTTGTTCTTATTTTTATTGCACTGTGGTCAGACTATATGGTCTGTACATTTCTTATTTTAGAATTCCAGATTTGCCTTTGTATTCTAAATCTGCTCATTTTTTGGCAAATGTTCCATTTGGCCCATGGACCATAGTTCCTATTAAGCAATCATAATAGAGTAGGGATGGCAAAATATGGTCCATGGACCAAATATGACCTATAGCCTCTTTTTGTAAATAAAGTGGTTTTTTTTTTTTTTTTTTAATTGTTTTTGTTTTTTTTGAGATGGAGTCTCACTCTTATCTCCAGCCCTGGTTGGAGTGCAGTGATGAGATCTCAGCTCACTGCAACCTCCGCCTCCCTGGTTCAAGCCATTCTCCTGCCTCAGGCTCCCAAGTAGCTGGGATTACAGGCGCTCGCAACCATGCCTGGGTAATTTTTGTATTTTTAGTAGAGACGGGGTTTCACCATGTTGGCTAGACTGGACTCAAACTTCTGACCTCAGGTGATCTGCCTGCCTTGGCCTCCCAAAGTGCTGGGAGCATAGGCATAAGCCACCACCTGTAATCCACCATTTTACTGAAACACAGCAATGCTCATTTGTTTATGTATCATCTTTGCTGCTTTCATGCTACAAATATGTGGCTTGCAGAGTCTAAATTCCTTCTAATCTGGCCCTTTACAGAAAATCTACGCTGATCACTGATATAGAGGATCTGAATTATATATGATTAGTAATGGAGATCTAATAAGATATGAAGACAGAGAATATTTCTATTAAAGTATCCATAGAACATTTACACAATTTTACCATGTTCTTATTCATATTGTATATTTTATCTTCAGTGTAGAGCATCCCTAATTATTGTAAAACAAGCTTTTTGGTCAATATAATGCCTTTTTACTTTAATTACAACTTTGTATGATATGAAAACCTCAACTTCTGCTTAATTATTTTACCTTGAATAACCTATTTAACTTTGTGTCTGACACATAATACTTATTAAATAAATATTACCTGTTAGTATTTCTTCTTTTTGAATTTATTTTCATTTCTTTCTGTTCTTTTGCTTTTAACTCTTGCGTATCTTTTTGTTTTAGGTTAGGTTCTTCTAGGTATGATATAGTTTAGTCTTTTTTTTTTTTTTTTTTTTGAGACAGAGTCTCGCTCTTGCCCAGGCTGGAGTGCAGTGGCGAGATCTGCAAGCTCCGCCTCCCGGGTTCACGCCATTCTCCTGCCTCAGCCTCCCGAGTAGCTGGGACTACAGGCGCCCACCACCATGCCCAGCTAATTTTTTTTGTATTTTTAGTAGAGACGGGGTTTCCCTGTGTTAGCCAGGATGGTCTTGATCTCCTGACCTTGGGATCCACCCACCTTGGCCTCCCAAAGTGCTGGGATTGCAGGCAGGAGCCACCGTGCCTGGCCTTTTTTTTTTTTTTTTTTAAATAAAACAGTTACCATTTACATTTCTTGTAATAATAGTTTCTTGTTATTGTCATCTAATTTTAGGCCATATGGTTTGGTCATCTCCATCTCCTTCTGCATTACATAGTATATTTCATATTTTTAGATATACTAGGCAACTGAGTAGATGGTAGTGCCGTTCTCCAGGCTTGGAAAGATAAGCTTGTAAGGAGAGGTGATCAGTTTAGCTTTGAACTTGTTGGATCCAGTGAATATTACCCTTATGTATCAGAATAAGATATTTAAATGAAGGGATCTTTGAGAGCCTTAAGATAGTATACTAGTAGAGGGCTGGCGTGGTGGTTCACACCTGTAATCCCAGCACTTTGGGAGGCCAAAGCGGGCTGATCATGAGGTCAGCAGTTCAAGACCATCCTGGCTAACACAGTGAAACTCTGTCTCTACTAAAAATACAAAAAAAAAAAAAAAAAAAAAAAATTAGCCAGACATAGTGGCAGATGCCTGTAGTTCCAGCTACTCGGGAGGCTGAGTCAGGAGAATGGTATGAACCTGGGAGGCGGAGCTTGCAGTGAGCCAAGATCCCATTGGGCAACAGAGTGAGCCAAAAAAAAAAAAAAAAAAAGTAGTATACTAGTAGAGGACTTCACTTTATTTTCCTATTTTCTGGAAATTTCATTTCTTTGAATTCTGGGCATAAGAGATTTAGAAGCTATACTCAAAATATTAAGCTTTATTTTTAAAAAATGATTTCCAGTATTTCACTTTACATTCACATTACTCAAGTCTACATGCTTTGTTTAGAGTGACAGGAAGATGGTAATACGCCTAGGGAACTACCTGGAAGTGTAGAAATTAGAATGAACACCGTGGTTATACTTGTTTTGATCTGTCTGTGGTGCTATCATGACTTATTTTCTCTCATTATTACATAGAAACTCAATTCATGTTATTCAGATGTTATTCATAAGTTATTGCCATGATTAATCCCTTTGATGTCATCAGAATTGGGATGGCTACCCAGAATAGGGGATCCTGGAGATTTCCCTGTAGTCACTTTGCATTTATAATTAACCCTTTATCAAGGACAGAGGGATTTCTGTGGGACTTCTCCCTTAAAAGAACTCAGCCTGAGTGGAAATATGAGGATTAACATCAGCACATATTTGTCTTCAAAAAATTTTCCTCGCCATTACTCACACTTGCTAATAAATAACTTGCTTTGGGTAAATATTCAGCACTCAGTCTTAGTCCAAAGCATTTGCTCAGCACTCACTGCATAGAGTACAGAGTAAGGGGGATACCAACAAATACAAGTTTGCTCTATTTTCTTAAGAAGCTTGTTTTCTGATAGGCAGCTCAGCACTGATATTAATTTGTAATATATAACACAGATATGGAAAAACTTGAGTGCCAAGAAATATTTAATTGTAAAAACTATGAAGAGATCAACACATTTAGAGTGCAATAGGATTTCAAGTCTAGGTGTGATGGCTCATGCCTGTAATCCTAGCACTTGGGGAGGCTGAGGCGGGTGGATCACTTGAGCCCAGGAGTTCGAGACCAGCTTGGCCAACATAGCAAAACACTGCCTCTACTAAAAATATAATAATTAGCCAGGTGTGGTGGCGCATGCTTGTAATCCAAGCTACTTAGGAGGTTGAGGCACAAGAATCACTTTAACCTGGGAGGCAGAGACTGCAGTGAGCTGA